TGCCTCCCTCCCGGCTTGCCGCGTGAAACAGCTGTTTCGTGGCACAAGCGCTGGGAGGGAGGGGGGAGAAGTAGGACGCGGCGGCACGCTCAGGGGAAGAGGCGGAGCGGAGGCAGAGGTGAGCTGGGGCGGGTGGGGCGGGGAGCTGCCAGCCCTGGAGCACCCACGGAGTCAGCGCCTATGTATCCATAGCTGTCTAACGTGTGCTAAGCAAGACCCTGCTAGAAGAAAGAGACGTGGAGAGTTAATGCATCAAGCGTTAAAAGGCCCCCTCCAACGCTTACAGGTTGATTTCGTAGGACTACTCCTAGGGGAAACAGATTTTTGTTTGTAATCGTGGATAGTTTTAGCAAATGGGTAGAAGCATTCCCTACTAGAAAAACAAAGAGTGCTGCAGATGCAAAAATGTTAATAACTGAAATTTTTCCTAGGTGGGGGCTGCCACACAGCATCGATTCTGACAATGGTCCCGCTTTTATCGGCCAGGTGTACCGAAATATGGGGACCTGGGCCGGGATTCCCCTACCATCACACCTGTGCCCCCTGCCACCCTCAAGCTGGGGGACAGGTGGAAAGGCTAAATCAACCTCTTAAAACTGAACTGTTTAAAGTGTGTAATGAGCTGGGCACAAACTGGGAGATGGTACTTGCCTGGATTCTGATGAGGATCCGGATCCGTCCAAACCGCAGGACGGGATTTAGTCCCTATGAAATACTCTTTGGGAGACCTCTGCCCGGCTGGGAAAACTGTATCCCTCAGATTGGCAAACAACGACAGCGCTGGCAACCACCACCTGGGTGAACGGCTTTAACTATCGGTTGGGCACCGTTCAAGGAGCAGCCGCAGCGCAGCAGGCTACAGATCAGCAAAACATGAATCAGGCATTTGATGAAAGCCGGGAGATCAAACAATGGCAAATTGGAAGCCAGGTTATGGTTAAAATTGAACCAGCTCCAAAGAAGAAAATTCCCAAAGGAGAGTGGTTAGGTCCTTGGCCAATTTTAGATAAATTAGGCTCCGCTCTGTACTTGGTTGAAATAGAGGAACAATCTCGGTGGAGACGTGCCATGCAATTGAAGGATTACGAGGGTTAAGCTGCATATTACGTTCTGTGCTTTTTTTTAAAAAAACACACACGGGATAAGTGGTTAAGGGAAGCACAATGGAATCCTTCCAAATCAATAATGAGTTTTAACCTCCATCAGCGCCCCGATTGTTAATATATATTGCTTGGAGTCAATTCTGCTTTAAAAAAAACCCCCAACTTACATTATACACATTGACCCATGAGAGAGAAGCTAGTGTTGTTTTATATTTTTATAGGTTACGATGCCAACCTGGATATGGAACGTGTTGGGCGTTCTGGTAGTGGCCCAAGGGGCAAAGGGGCGGTCGATGTCAAAAAGATCAACCAAACCCATTCGGTGACCAGAACTGTTTGGACAGAAACAGTTAATAACTCCACTGGATGACACGCAGCAAGTCAAGTGCACCCTACCGGAACTGTTCTGAAATTAGGGTGTGAAACTGAAGGAAAGCGACAAATGGAGCACATCCTCGGGGTGTCACCCTTTGCTCTCCAGATGGCTTGGGGATGGACCGTTGGAGAGGGTAGTGAGACTCAACGTATTCCTGTCCAAGAGGTCGCTCATGCCCGACGGCGGATTGAAAAGGAACGGACTTTGAGTAAAGAGACACAGGCTGTTGGAAGGTTGATATTGTCGTTAATTGTGATCAGGTTTTTGTCCTTACTGCACTTCCTCACGCAGACTCCTGACATTAAGACACAAAGTGAACATGAACATATACACAGTAAGGGAAGGAAACGAGCCACTCCGGGAATGAAGCGCGTTCTAGTGGTACCAAATCAAGTAGCGGAGTAATATTTCACAGGCGTGGTGGGGGAGGATCTGACCTGGGATGTGTTGTCCAAGCACACAAACTCGAGGCCGGTACCGTATCCTTGGTCTGGTTTCGAGCAGGGGACACGGTGATTGGTCACTTAAATGGAATTGTAAAAACATAGGGAGATTGCAGAAGCAGGGTGGAGTTTACTGACTTGCAGGATAGATGGAGTGCATCCATTCGCATCCGTAACATTCACCTGAAAGAAACAGGGACATACACAGGAACTTGCTCTATAACCCCAAGCATCAGTAAATGCATCTACCGTGAGCAGGTATGTGAAGACGCCTGTCTGACAACAGCCCCAACTTCGCCTCCTTCCACTCCTCCACATCCTGACATTTACCCCAAGGACCCACTGTTCAACCCTGGCCTACCTCAGGAATTTTCCTGCATCCTACTGCAGAGTATATGGTAGAGAACGTAGGCTGGATCTACGTGCCACCAAAACTCGATTTTGCCGGCATGACTATGCCAAGGCAGTGCCCCAGATACTATAAGGATTGTTTTAATTCGGAAGAGGAGATGCAATTACAATTCTGGAAGGGCTCCCAAATCAGCCTACAACATGATAGAGAAAGGAGGGATTTACTAGGAACAGGCAGGGCCGGCTCCAGGGTTTTGGCCGCCCCAAGCAGCCAAAACAAAAAACAAACAAACAAAAATAAGCCGCGATCACAATTGCGATCGCGATCTGCAGCGGCAATTCGGCGGGAGGTCCTTCGCTCCCAGGCGGAGTGAGGGACCGTCCGCCGAATTGCCGCCGAATACCTGGACGTGCCGCCCCTCTCCAGATCGGCCGCCCCAAGCATCTGCTTGACAAGCTGGTGCCTGGAGCCGGCCCTGGGAACAGTGGTGGGAGGCTCCGGGCTTGGCACGTCCATATGGAACTCTGCAGACCTTGAAAATCTTAATTTAAAATTAAACACCATTGTGAACGGGATAGGCCAAGCAGTTAAAACAGGAGGAGGGATTAGCAGTTTATTACTGGGCCAGCATGCAATCACAACTGATCATACGCATTTGATTGCTCCAGGGTTTAGCCACCTGACTACAACCATTCTGTCCCTCATCAACAGCATAAACAGTGATGATGTTTCATTGGCAGTTGCTTGCCTGGCCTACGGCAACAGAGTAATGGAGATAGGACAGCAACATTTGGTGCAGTTGCAACTTCGGAACTGGCCACGGATACGAAACCCCACCGCCATCTTGAAACCAATACAGCAACGAAGCATAAACCGCATTACACCTGTCTTTGATAGGGGTCTGTAGCGGGGTGGAGACCCGCTCCTGCCCTGAAGGGCTTAAAACAGCCAGGAAGAGGGCTGTGGCAGGGAAAAACTGGGCTGATTGGGGAAGTAGCCACAGCTGGGCCATGCCCCAATCAGGCACAGCTGGTCCCTATAAAAGGCTGGGAGCCAATGACCTAGGGCACTCTCTCTCTGCATTCAGAGAGAGAAGGGCCTGGCTGCAGAGAGCTAGAGACAGGGTACCTGGGTGGAGCAGGGCTGGGGAAAGGCAGAGGAGCTGGGGAGCCTGGAAAGCCCCAGGCTGCGGCCTAGCAGAA